AGCAGGTGACAGAGGAGCTGTTCTGGCTCTGGAGGGTCATGCTTAGAGTCCCTGCCCCTTCATCATTCATACCCTTCCTGCTTGTCACTCTGCTCTGGGATTCTCATCCCCCAACCCCAGGCCTGGTCCAGTCCGTCCACAGTCCACATTAAAGATGGTAAATAGGATCTGAGAAGACCAGGGGTTTTCCAGGGTCCCAAGGACCACAGACCAGAACCCAGGTGTCTGCATTTCCTGTACCTCTGGGCCAGACACAAGGCCAGGCCTCATTGTAATGACTGGCACTTGTTGAGACCAGGTGGACTGCGTACCAGCCACAGGCCCCGTCTCATCTGCTTACTGACACTTAGCCCTGACACATCCTATGGGATGAGCACTMTTCTTCTCACAAGAAATCAGCCCAGTGACTTTTCAACTTTTTATTTGAGCTGCACAATTCTTTGTTCAAGAGAAATCTTAACCACAACCCCAAATAAAAATCAGGTAAAATTAGAGGTGGGCCCCCTCGCTTAACCTTAAACCCCTACAGGGATCTGGAGGCACTTTCTCAGGGGTCTTCTGAGAGCTCCGTTTAAAAACTGCCCATGCCATCCAATTCTATCTATTCTAGAATTGGAGGCCCAGAGGAGGGGAGGAACTTAGTGAGGGTCACTCAGGGAATTACTATCACAACTAGCCCTGCAACCAAAGTCCTGGGAACTTCAGTCCGTGTTCCATCCCTGACACCTCTTTTATTAGGAAACAGAGGCCTTATATTAACAGCTCTAACATGCAATCTCTTACACGCTGTATTTTAAGCCTGGGCTTGCAGTGGGCTCTAGTAATGTGCTAGTTTCTTCTCCCCCSACTCCATGTCCTCCTTGCCTCCAGCTCTCCAGGCCACCAACCACAGGAGAATCCTACTTTCCAGAACCCACTGCTGTGAGCCAAGTGGATGAGCCATCGTTTACCTTAGGAGTCCTCCATTCTTCCCAGATTATTTAGTGCAATGCCTCATCGCTCTGTAATATTCACAGGACACTTGACATTAGAAAGGGCTTTTTAAATCCCATGAAATAGGGATTTTGAGTTCAGCCACACCTTGGGGTGTATAAATGGTTCTACCACTTCAACGCCACASTGAGGGCCAAGCTTCCAGTACAAGAACCTCTGGGAAACAAATCATTAACTCTCTTAGGTGCCATAAGAGGAAACTCAGGAAATTTGATGTTCGCACCCCTGGGTGTGGCATCTCTGGGGGGGGCCTGCTGCCCAGCCCACATCCCTCCACTAGCAGACCCCRTATCCACCACCTCCTTTGCTCTCTGGCTCAGTCTTCAGTTCCGTCTGCCCCAGCTGGCTTTCCTATGGATTTCTTTCTCCCCTTTCCTTGTCTTGGCTCACTCATTCCCAAGGGTCCCATCTATGATTCTTTATCTATGGTTTTATTGCCAGTCATCTAGAAAAGGAGTTAGCTGACAAAGATATATATGATATATATACAAGCACAGGAAGCTCCTGGGGTCCTCAAACTGTTTGGTTTCCCTGGAGCTATATCCTGTCTGGTCCTGTCCCTGTAACATCCCTTCTTGGGTGGTTCTAAGAGGTTCCCTAGTATGTACCAGAGGTGACTGGGTTTTGTTTTGTTTTTCAAACTTTATTTCATGAGATTCCAATTCGGGGAGCAGTTTCTTAGAGACATGGTGACACGTCAAAAAGATTGGAGAATTCTGTTTGCAACCTACCCCTCTTGGAGACATCCATTGCAGAGTAGCATAAGAAAACTCGGAGAAGTCCTAAAGTCTAGATCTCGGAGAACCTGACACAACCTAAAACCTGTTCAAGAACTGTGTTAGCCTACTTTCTGTTGCTAGAACAAACTACCGGAGGCTGGGTACTTTATGAAGAAGTTTATTCAGCTCAATTTTGGAGGCTGAAGATCCCAGGTGAGGGCCCCCCTGGCCCACGTCACAACATGATATATGACACGACACTGGGAATGTATATGAGAGGAAGAAATCACATGGCAAGATAGGAAGCTGGAGAGTGGGGAGGGCCAGTCTTGCTTTTTTATAACAACACCCTCTGGCAATAACTAACTCCTTCCATAAAAGCAGCATTAATCCCTCCAAAGGGCAACACCTTCCATGACCCAATGACCTACTGCTCTGCCCTACTTTTTAAAGGTTCTACCACTTCAGCGCCACCACACTGAGGGCCAAGTTTCCAGCACAAKAACCTCTGGGAGACAAATCATTAAAAAACTGTGTTTTGTAGTCCACGGGGTGCCAGTTTGGAGGCCCCTCCGGACATCTCTGTGAGTTGGTCTGGAMACCTCTGAGCCCTTCAGTAGGGTCCCTCTTGGCCTTAGGATAGAGATCATAGATCCTCCTTCTCTCCTGGCTTCACTTAGGAAAATCCAAATTAGGTTGCTTCCAAGGACCTCAAGGAAGGTTTTTCATCTATACCAAAGCATTGTCAGACAGCTGGGCTTTCTTTGGAARAAAATGGAAATGGATCAAGGGGGGGCCCATTTATGGTCTGAACACTGCATTCTTGGGGTCTGGTCAAAGGAAGACGTCAGACCAGGCTGAGCCATTCTTAGAGGAAAGGATGGAGCTGGGGTTGCTGTATTTGGGAGGCAAGTCCTCCTTATCAAGCCGGCTGTCACGTCTTCAGATTTCTCCTACAAATGTGCCCACACACGTGCAGACACACTAATAAAATGTACTCTCTCCTTTAAACGAAAACTCAGCTTTACTTTTAGTTTATTTTAGGTTACTTTTAATTGCTTTCAATTAACAACTAATTCTAGGTTGTAGATAGGGTGGTTGTTTTCTTGTTTCATTTTTCTCTCCTGTGGAAAATTCCATTAGTCACTTCACAGCTGAGTCACAGGTTTTGTTTGTTTGTTTGTTTGTTTGCGTGGGGGTCTGAATAAAGCTGCTGTGAAGATGGGGATAGCAATTATGTAAGTGTGCGAGGGCTGCTGGAACAAAGTGCCTCACGCTGGGTGTCTGGAACAATAGGAATTTATTGTCTTGAAGTTCTGGAGGTTAGAAGTCCAAGGTCTAGGTGTTGGCAGAAATGGTTTCTTCTGAGGGCTGTGAAGAAGAACAAGTTCAAGCCTTCTCCCCCAGCTTCTGGTGTTTTCTGGCTCTCCATAGCTCATAGAAACATTCTCCTGACTGTGCATCGTCACATAATGTCCTTCTTGTGTGTATGCCTCTGTCTGAATTTCCTCTATTAGGACACCAGTCACATTGGATTAGGGGCTCATCCTACTCATATATGACCTTGCCTAAACTTGATTAATTATATCAGCAAAGACCCTATAAGGGTCACATTCTAAGTAAGGCTCCATCCTTCCTTGTGTTACTGAGTCACTGAGGTACTGGGGTTTAGAACTACAACATATAAATTTGGAGGGGACACAGTTCAACCCATGGCACTGCTTCTGTCCCACGGTACTTAAGGAACTTGCAAGCTGTTGCATCCCACACCTACCCATCAGGAGAGATGGCTGGGGGCTCAGGACAGGTGGAGACAGATGCAGACGCAGAGATACAGCAGCTCTGCAGCAGGTTTACCTTTCCCAGGAGGAGACGGGCCCAGAGCCTCCTCGGGGCTGACTGATCAACAAAGGCAGGTAGGGGACTGGAATTGGTTCAGTCCCATGAGAAACTTCCAGGGTGGAGAGCTCTGTGGGGAGGGGACAATGTAAACCCCGATCCTGCCCATGGGAAGCCACACGGGGGACATTCACAGGAGTTGCATGGAGAGGTGTGGGCCCAGTGCCAGGCCACGATGCACTTGGGTTTGTGAGGGGTCATCAAGGCTCCTCAGGGAGGTGAAGTACGAACTGGGATTCTCATGTCATTGGACAATTTTTGTCATGCTGATGGATAGAAGGACTCAATGCCCCATTGTCCCCCCAACTGCAAGAGACTGTGTGTGGTACAGTGGGAAGCACTCATGCGCTGACATCAGGGGTCCCAAAGTCAGGCCCCAGGCCATCCCTCCAGTTCTTCATGGATAAATGGCTTTAATTTAAAAATCTGGTTGACAGGATATGCTGAGAAGCTGGAAAGAGTTAACAGGGAAGGGAATCTCATGGCTCTAGAAAGTAGCAGACACAGAGTCTCCACACAGGAGCTGAGTTTCATCTGTGAAAAGGGAACCCAACGGCATCCCTCTCCAATGAGAGAGAACGGGCGTGGGCCCTGGCCTCCCTGGTTCCCATGAGCCCATCACTTCTTCCCTTTGGACCAACTCCCTCGAGAGTGAACTGAAGGGCCCAGGCTAGACAGTGTCCTCCGCCAGGACATTAAGTGACTCTTTAAAAAATGCTTTGAGACAATACAGGCTTGAAAAGCCAACAGACTGAAGTACAATTTGTACAATGTGATGTGGGTGACTCACTTAACCTAAGTCCAATGTCCCCGTCTCTGAAAGTGATGGTAAATAGCCCTCATGGGTTAAGTTTGAAAATGTTCATGACGTGATTAACATGTGGCTTGGCGTTTGGTAGTCAAAGTTAGCTCTTATAGAGCCTCTGTTTGGTCAGGATTGAATGAGTTGTGGTAGGTGAAGGGCCTGCCCACAGTAGGTCTTCAATGAATCACGGACACTGCATTTTCCCTTTAAAATGCAGTCTTGGCGGAGCTGTCCCCATGATTCCCATTGGGGCCTCGGGTAGAGGGGGAGGGTTGCCTGGAAAAGAATGTGAACTATTTGAAGAATAAAATTGTTTTCAAGCCATTTCAATCACCCATTTGCTCATCATCAGTAGCTGTGCCCCTTACAACCAACGTGAACCCATTCAACCACCCGCCTAGGGGTTCTACCTTGTTCAGTTTCTTAGAGAATTAGGCCCCAACCCAAAGAGCTATTTCCAGCATGATAATAATTAACCTGGCAATTCGTAAAACAGGCCCAGGCCGCCTTGTGAGGGACAAGCACCCTTTCACTTGAGAACAAACCTAAGGAGAGTCTTTCTAAGATTTCTCTCTTTCCGGTAGGTCACAGATCACACAGAAACTCGGAAGACAAAGGTAAATCCCACCACGCCATGTCCTACAGACGAGAGCTAGAAAAATACCGTGACCTGGACGAAGACGAAATCCTTGGAGCCCTCACAGAGGAAGAGCTCAGGACGCTGGAAAATGAGTTGGACGAGCTGGACCCTGATGTGAGTGGACACTAGGGGAACACGCTGCCCCAGGTCAGGGGCCGCGCCCTCAGCACTGGGTGGGCAGGYGTGTCTTCCTCATTGCCACTGCCCTGTCCTTAAATGGCAGTGACACTGAATAATGATGTCTTTGTATGGTTTCTTAAAAAGTGCTGTTTAGAGTTCTCCAGGAAAACCGATCCGATGGGATAGGGGTAGATACAGATAGGTAAACAGAGGGTTACTATGAGCAGTCGGCTCAAATGGTTTTGGAAATTGACAGATCTCAAGATCTGCAGTAGGAAGCTGGAGACAAGGAGAGCTGGGGTGCAGCTGGGGTCTACCTGCTGGTGGGAGAAGGCCCGGGAAGAGGCAGAAATCAGTGCCCCAACTCCAGGTGGCCAGGCAGGAGGAAACCCTGACTGCAGGGTCGGCTTCTTTGTTCTGTTTGAGCTTTGGACAGATTGGACGGGGCCCACCTCTGGGGGCAGCCTGCTGTCCTCAGTCTTCAGATGCAAATTGTAATCTCATCCAGACASGCTCTCACAGATACAACCAGAACGAGGTTCCACCAAGTGTCTGGGAACTGTGGCCCGACAAGTTGRCTCATAAAACCAACCACCACAAGTCCTCTTCTTGTCAACCCGGCATCTCTTTGAACCATAACTAATTTTCAAATAAAGGCAGTACCAGGTTGTACTTCTGCCTAACACGATACAACCAATCTGTGTTCCACAGGGAACAAATGAACCTATTTCCCAGAAGGGGTGGTAAAGTTCTTGAATGCTGTTGACTCTTCTCCAAATTCTGTAACCTAAACATTATGATGGAAAATGAACAATACTTCAATACTATCAAATATAGTCAGGGGTGGTGGCACACACCCTGTAATCCTGGTGATTTGGGATTCTGAGGCAGGAGGATTGCAAGTTCAAGACCAGCCTGGGCAACTTAGCAAGAAATAAAAAATAAAAGGATTGGGAATATACCTCACTGGTAAATGCCCCTGGTTTCCCAGTATTCAGCGGGGGGGTGGGGAGGGGTGGGGGTGGGGGTGGGTGGAACAAAACTCCACAATGGTGTAAAGTCAATAACAGCTTATGTTACATAATAATGAAATGAGAGGGGAAAACTAAAGATATTCACTACATATACACATTCATAAAACAAAGGAAATATTCATGATAATTATTGTCCTCATTCCTATAACTGGTCAGATGCAGGCAGCTTGTATGTAAAATGACTTCTTTCCACCACCCATTCTGTCATCCTGTGGCTTTTAGCAAGCACCTCAGCTGATTGAGGACCTTCATTCTGAAGGCTCTCAGCCATGTGTAGTCCTCCTGGGGTGGGTGGTTGACTTTTCCATTGACCTTGATCACAGGGCATGGCGATACTGCCATGTTCCAAGCTCAGGCTTTGTTCCCTCTACTGTCTGGGGGTACAGTTTCCACTTGGTGGCTGGGATCAGCCACCCCAGCCAGCGCTGTGGCTGCCTTCTCAGCCTGTTGATTCCCAGGCATAAGGAGCGCAGGTGGCCAGGGGCAGCCTTACCTTCCTGTCCAACGGAATCCTTATGCCTCCAGTGAGAGAAAGCATTCCTCTTGTTGCCCTGATACTTTTAGACAAGCAGAGCCTAAGGTCAAGAGAACAGGAAGCAAAAATGTTGCCAGGAGTCCCTGGGGACACTGTGAGTACTGCTACTCCCATTTCCAACCTTGACTCCTAAACCTGTGAATCCTGCCTATGGCCATATATTGGCCCCCTGATTCAGAGCATGCGCAGCCTCCTGGAGCACCTTGACTAGGGCCCTGCAGGCCACGGACACCTACCTGGCTGCTGCTGTCACTGGGTCTTCCAAGGGCCATTCCACTCTTCTGTCAAGTGCAGTGCTTCTGGATGGAGGGGAACATGCATTGTGGAATGAATTAGTTGAGAAATAAARGACTAGAAGAATTCCTGTCACTTGTTTGATGTTTTATCATTGCATTTCATAGTTGGCACATTGAAGAAGTTTTAATTTAATTTAATGCTCAGAATTCACCTCTGTCGTCAGGATACCCAGTATTGATAAGCAGAAGGCTCCCTAGTAGTGTGTTCTTTGGCAAGCCATGCTGGAGTAAGTAAGGGGCAGGGTCTTCATGCTAAAATTATATCCCAGCACCCAGGTCTATGCTTAGCACAAAGAAGGCAGATAATGAATGCTACTGAATTTGGTGCATTTCTATTTGATGTATTTTTAATTAAAAATGGAATGTTTCATGCCTTTAAAAAACAGTCTTTGTTCAACTCTGGCCTAACAGTGATCTACCGAACAAACAATTTTTTTAAAAAAAGCACCTCACTATCGTTTCACTAGCCCACAGATAATCTCACTGCTGATGTTTAGGGAGCACAGTACAGCAGGAGAAATGCAAAACTGGAGGTWAGAGGTCCCATTTCCACTCCTGTCTCTGATACCCAGCATGACCCGGGGCCAGTTCCTGTCCTTCCCTAGGCCTCAATGTCCCATCCATGACAGGCTGGAGTTGGTTGGTCCCTTTCAGGACTAAGCTTCCATAAGCTTATCACCTGGTCTTATCCCCAGACTCCATGAAGTGGCTTCTTTCCAGATAACCCAGAATCCTTGACTAGGGTCTGGGACCCATGCCCCATGGGATGACAGATCCTTCCAGCAAAGTGTCCTCATCTTGCTTTTCACAGCTTTCCCCTGCCCAGCCACGAGGAGACAATGCCCTGGAGAGGCAGCTTCTGCTGATCAGAAGGCAGTGTGGGTGGAGGGAGCTGAGGTTCCTCCGCCTTCCCGCCTGTCTCCTCCTGCTAGGCTGCACCGCTGCAGAAATGAGCAACAGAGGCCAGCAAAACAATCCAGCTTCCGCTTCATTGCTGCAAATTTATTCTGTTCTAATTCTATCCTAGATTACTGTTCATAGAATTTCAAGAACAAACAGCTTTTGAAAGTTAGAACAAAAGGGGATGTGATGGCTCCTTCTAGTCAATTTGATAAATGTGACTCAGTTACCTGCCCAGCGCAGGGCCCTGTGTTGGGCACCAACAGGGATCCTGCCCTTCAGGACTTAGGGTGGTAAAAGCAGGTGTAATAATCAGGTCCTGTGTGGGGCCGGCAGGGGGCTCAGGATTACCTCTTGGTGGGAGGCTCCAGAGCAGGTGATATTGGAACTGGGCCCTAGATTTTCCAAAGTCAGTAATTAAAAATGAAGAACTCCAGGTGAAGGCGTCTAGCACGGGCTGCRGGAGGGACGGTCCATGTGGGAAGAAACTGGGAGGGGAGCCTTGGTGATTTCTGTGGAATGTTARATGTGACTAGAAAGGGGTCAGGGGCTGGATATGGGGCAGGGTGGCAAGGCAGACAAGAGTGGACTTCTCTCAGTAGCCTGGGGAGCCCTCAAGGAGCAGTGACTCCGTGTGCTTTGGTGACTGCAGGAGCTGACTCTCAGCACAGAGGGACTATAAGGGGTACCAGAAGGGACGGAGAGGGGACTTGGGCGTGAGCCCCCGGTCCTGTCCACCTGTTAGTGGCAAGTGCTCTTGAAGGCAAGGAAGGGCCTGACCTTCTCCACAACTGTATCTGCAATGCCGTAGAACACTTGCTATTCCCAGAGAGGAACCAGTGGACCCCCAGGGTCCCACAGGCCTGCTGTGTCTGTCCTTTTGCCCTGTTGGAGTTTCCCTGAGCCACTGGGTGGATGTTAGGTGAGGTTACAACTGCAAATAGGGCATCTGATGACAAGGATCAGAGACAGCATTCGACCCAGGAGTGAGGAGGGGACTGGGGAAGGCGCCATCCCAGAACTGAGTGTAGCCCTAAGGACCAAGCCCAGGCCCCAGCTGGGAACCATGTCACTAACCTGGCAAAGATCCTCCACAGAGCCCCACGCCAAATATCAGGCTCTCCAGCCTCAGGGGCAAATTCTCAGGGCCTTGGAACCTCTTAGAAGCCAGCTCTGCTRTCCAGGTGACTAACAGGGATGGCTCTGCTGGTTCCCATGGAGGGAGGAGCACGGAGGCTCAGATTGCCACCAGCTYGCCTATACTCACACCACTAGAGTGACACCACAGGGCTCGGGCTCTGGGAGTCCGGTTGCAAGCAGGCTCCAGAGTGTGTACAGTCCGCTCTGGCAGGAGGGGARCCATTGTGCCRGTGGGTCTGGGAGTGGGCACAGGCMACCTGAGACCTGGCATTCTCAATTACTGGGGTTTCTAAAGTGACATTGTCAAACACCCCTTTCTCCCTCAGTGGAGGAAGAAACCAGAGTGGATGGGAGATAACAGGCCAAACCGGCTTTTTGTCCCCAACACACAATGGCCCCTTCACTTGGGATCATCTCTGTTACCTGATTTGCAAGACAGTATTCCTGTTTTGAAAGGCCTGGGGTAGGGGCTTCTTTCTGAGAGMTCAACAATCCAGCTCTAGTTTCCCCCTGCCTTGGCCCGCTCCAAAATCACAGCCCTGGGAGAGGCCAAAGGTATGTGGACCGTGAGAGGACAGTCACCAGYGGGTATGCAACCCCCAACTCAGAGCAGGAGCCGAGCCCAGACAGGGGGAGTAACCTGTCTTAGATCTGAGATGTCCAAACAGAACCAGAACAGAACCCAGGGGCCCTGATGCCCAGGCTGCTGCCCTCCTGTTGTACCCCACACTCCTCCTGTGTTGACTTTTGTGTCACACTTGGGACGTGCAGAGGCTGTTCTGAGCACTTGGAATATGTAACTCAGCCATCACCCTAATCTTCTGAGGCAGGTGCTCTTCTCATCCCCGTTATACAGATGAGGAAACCGAGTGGTGGCGAACCTGTCCAAGGTCCCACAACTTGGCAGTGGCAGAGCCACAACATGGTTCTTGGAGTTCACATCTTAGCCACGCTGCCTGAGGCTTCATGGGAATCTTCATGGGATCCTTTGGGTCCTGTCTCTATTCTGGCCTTGGGCACTTGCTTTTCCCTCTTTGGGTCTCAGTTCCCTTGACTGTCGATGGACATAGTTGGATAAAAGACCTCAGA